TTTGCCTTTCTGAAAGGGTGGGTCATAATTTTTCAGCACCACTTTAAGGGTGGGCTACAAATGTTCCAGCAGCTAATAAAGGGGTGGGCTACCAAAAGTGCAGACACCAAATATATGATTTTCCCAGCCCACCCACCTTTTACTTTATGACCAGTAAATTAAATGCAGTGGATGGAGTACAAAACTTGAATTTTTCCCAACAAGAAACTTTCTGCATCTTGCCCTGCACCGTGCGGGTGGTGTCTGTAACACTGATTAATTTGTTATAATTTGTCTTTATATTTGAAAGAACTTTTAAAGTTATATACTGTATGAAGACCCTTTACAACTTTTTGGTTTTTGAAATATTTTGACCTAAAACAGTGTGCTGTCCTGCCATCTTGGTATTATAATTGACCTAATTAATGACGTCCCAAGCAGGGTAAACTTGTTAAAACTTCTTCATGTGGGATTAAATTTCTTCGAAAAGTTTCCTTAAAATGTTGTGAGTTAAGTAGTAAAAAGACAGACTTTGGAAGATCGAGTTTCATACTGATAATGACATATGGTTTGCAAGATTTCACTTTTTACCCTACTTGCAGTGTATGCATATCGAATGCATATACAAAGTGGCAGAATGCATGCTGCTTTTGATAAAAATAAGTTGATTTATTTCAAAAACCGGCAAGATATGGAATAACTGTAAAGGAAGTTTATTTTTATTGTTCTTTCAAATAAGACAAACTTAAGGTGGCTTCGCTACACTGTTTTAATTAAAATTAGAGATTTTCTGCTTCGGATCAAAACAATTCAACATTCGACAAAACAATTCAGCATTCAACAAAACAATTCAATATTCAACAAAACAATTCAATATTCAACAAAACAATTCAACAAATTAAAATTAATTCAACAAAACTGTCTCTCTCCCAGGCCTTTTGGGGCTGGGTTTCTCTGAGCAAAAAATTTCAATGCTATATGGGGTATCAAGGTGGACAATTTATAGATGAGAATACAACTTGTACCATTTATGTGAATTCAGCAATTTATCTGATGCTGAAATAGATGGCTTATTTGTGGATTATATGAATTGCCATGGAAGGACAACTGGGCAAGTGCCAATATTAGGTTATCTTCGTTCACATGGTATACATGTACAAAGGAGAAGAGTTCGTGAGAGTATAACTAGAGTGTATCCAGCCAATGCTGCATTAAGGTGGGGAGCTGCTGTGTATCGTAGAAGATATCAAGTGGTATGGGCTGATTCTCTCTGGCACCTCGATGGGCACCATTCTTTAATTAGATGCAGTATGGTTATATATGGGTACATAGATGATTTTTCTAGGCACATAATTTATATGTACTGCAGTTCAAATAATCTTGCAAGTACAGTTTTAAATTTGTTCCTTGATGCGATTGAGAAAGATGGGGGAATTTGGCCATCCCATATTCACATGGACCACAGTGTGGAAAATGTATTTGTATGTGAGGCAATAGTGGAAACCAGAGGAGAAGGTAGAGATTTATTGCTGGTCCGCCAACCCATAATCAAAGGATAGAGCGCCTTTTGTGTGATATGTTTCATGTATTTAGCCATTACTTTTATTATGCTTTCTACGCGATGGAAGATTCTGGCATTCTGAATACCGACTGTTAATTACATTTGGTTTACCTACCTTGAATCAATTTAGCACTTCAAGAATTTGCGGAAGCTTTTAATCACCACAGAGTTCGAACAATGCAAAACTGGTCCCCTTATCAGATGTGGATAATCAAATAACATTTCAGATCCGGGAAATCCATTGCTTACTGGACAACCTGACCCACCACTTACTCTGTCTAACGCCAGACGATTTTACTCTGTCTAACGCCAGACGATTTTACTCTGTCTAACGCCAGACGATTTTACTTGTTAAGGGGAGAGCGCTGGAGCTTAACCCATTGAGTGGCATTGCACCCTGATGCACCCTACTTTAGTATTTTACTCTGTCTAACGCCAGACGATTTTACTCATCAAGGCGAGAGCGCTGGCGCTTAATGGGTTAATCCAGAGTTATATGTTTGTAAATATTGTAATATGGTAACTACATATATTGTGATATGGTAACTACATGTATTAATATTTTCCTCATGTCCTGTGAAGGTTGTTTGCATGCAGCATGTTCAACTATTTTCCTACTTACAGTTAACATATTTTCATTTATTATCTTGTCTATGCTACAAATAAAATAAAGTTTACTACACTAAACATACTATGTTCTCAAGTCTAAGCTACTGAACTATCTAGTTAACCATAACTAGATAACTTTTTTACGATTTTAGATTTCCATACACAGTACATAGTTATAGATATATTTTTAGATTTAAATTGTTGGTGTGATATCCCTATAGATTTTACTGACTTAATCAGGGCCAAAACTTGGGTATAAAAATTCGGGGGGGTATGGGTCTATTTTGCCCGACATAAGGGCGTGGCCGTGGTATTGCCCGATGAACTTGAAAGTTTATGAAAGCAATTTATATGAAACATATCGGGACTAGTCAGATAGTATTCTAAATTTCATGCAAAAATATACAAGTTATAAAATATGATATGAACACTCAATTATATTCACCACTTACTGTTCTATTTACACAGGGTGTCTGTAAAAGATAATATACTTTAACTTGCATACATCGATAAACTAAACATTTAAGTTAAATATCTGGTTTATACGGTTATATGCAATGACGACATACAGTTTTTCCTCCATGTATGTCCTGATTAGAATGTTGGCTAAAATCGGATGAAGAACATCTTATTCACCAGATAAATAGCAGTTTGGCACAGCCTCATGTCAAGGTTGGATGACCTTTTTATTATGGAGCATCCATCACACGACACCCTGTATTTTTCTTTCTAACTGTTTGAACTTCTAAATGCTAAATAAATTTTATTTTGAGTTTTCTGTTCTTTTGAGAAGCCCATTTCTTCATGGCTGCATGTAAGTCAATGGAGTCAACTAAATCTTTCTCACTGGCAAGAACTATGAGATCATCAAGTTGAGTGTCAGACATCCTGGATCTGAGGAAGTTTTTGACAATTTTCATTCTGCTGAATGTCTGTTCATCTTTGGCAACGGTTACAGGAGCAGTAAAGAGTAGTTTAAACGACTTGTATACGTTCAGGAAAATGCTTTTGTTCAAATACACTCGCTAGCAGAGATCGGCGGTCTTACATGGGACAGTTAACTTCTTAACGCGTTCTTGAAATATTTCAAGCTCTGCGTGAAGACACTTGCATTCACCGTTATTGACGGCGGGAAAAGACCTGATATTTCATTCATTTGCTGTACGTTTGGATTCTGCAATGGCCGACAAAGTCAATCAGCCAAAGATTTAATCTTCTCAAGGGACTGTTTTAGGTTGTTGTTGTATTCAGTAATAAGAGAATCTAGCACTTCTATACCTGCCTTGCGGTAAAATGTGTGGAAAGAAATTGACACGGCTGAATTTTGGTTTTCTTCAAGTCTTTGTGGCATCCTCCTCGGCCTGTGGTGGCGATTAAATTCTTCTTCTGGTTCTGTTCCATAGTGGTTGGAAAATTGAACACTAGCATCAATCTGGCAATCGATCTCCAACTCATTTTCTCTCATTTTTCGTAGGGGATGAATGGTCTCTTCTACCAATATTAATGCATCTAATATATTAAGAGACTCTTTCTGCAACTCTATAGTCAGAACTGGAGGAATTTGCACATGCCATGCTGCACTTGCGATTACCACATATTTTTCAATACTTTATCTTACAATTGTATAATGGCTATGAATTTATCGGCGAGTCAGATTTGATGTGTACTAGCACGACAATGAGTCAATGACACACGATGAACTTGTTAAAATTTTGGAAAAAATGCTGCATCTTTTTAATATCACTTTATTAGGTTGTATTTTTCTCATATCTCCAGAAATTCGCCTGACGAGTTCCTATAATTTGCCCGACCAGACCAACTTCCTTGAGATTGGGAGGTGTATCACCCCCCCTCCATACCTCCCCTGGAGTTTTGGCCCTGGACTTAATAAATGTAGACATACATAAATGCAACACAATAGCGCGCCCCTCCCTACAAATTAGGCCCATGTGTTGTATGTCAGTATACACTATACAACAGTACAACAAAAAAAAAAAACAGTTGAATACAATGCAATGTACTGTAATACAAAGCAATACAATGTAATACAATACAAACAATGAAAATAATATCATACCATAAATAACTCACTTGTAGATTGTCATTACAGTTTAAATTAGTATTGAAATTAAATATTTATATTTGCATAATTTTCATGTCACTGACTCACCTTGCTATGAGATGTCTAGTCCTATGTATAATGGAAAATATTCCATTTTGCTGTACATTTCACTGAATCTCAATCTCTTCTCTAACACATTGGCAGATCATATCAGTTATTTCATCATGGGGTGTCACTGCTTGCTCACTCTCCACAGTAGGCTGGGGCAGTTTTTCGGTTTACCAAAAAAGTTTGGTTTTTTTTAAACCGCTTTTTCGGTTTTGCCAAAATCAAAAAACCGAAGAACCAAAAAAACCGGACAAAGCACAACGAAAAACGGAAAAATTACCGAAAATCGGGCAGCATTAACTGATTAAGGGAATTCTAAAAATGGCTCATGACTCATCATAGACGCTATCATCCCTAACAACGCCAGGAAATCAAATGTGTCATTAGGGCTTCCGCCTGCGCATTATTCAAAATCGGAAAATATTTTTGTATTCATTGTGTTGTGTCAAATCACGCTCTCACTTAAAAAACTAAACTGTGTGTCTTCAATCCTGCGTCTGTAAGGGTTTATTTGTTGACATGGAAATGCCGGAATCTAACAGCTCAGTTTGGAAATTATTTAAGAAGGCGGATGATAACAGCGCAATCTGCCAAACCAAAATAAGAAATGGAAAGCTTGAAAGTTGAACTTCTGGTGGAAGAAACGTCTTCGGAAGACACAGAAGCATAGAAACCTACTACATGTGGTCATCTCACGGCTTAACTCCATATCTTGGCTACACGATTCATTGGATAGACAGTGACTGGAACTTGAAAACGATATATCTTGGAACAAGACACGTGCCAGAAGACCATACTGCAAGCAATCTTGCTGAACGTATGCACAATGTCCTTTCTTATTGGAAGTTAGACGAAGAAAAACAAGTTGCTATAACAACAGACAACAGGGCAAACATAAACAAGGCCTGTAGGGACAGCAAATGGACTAACGTGCTATGTTTCGGTCACAACCTTCATTTAGCTATCACAAACACTCTAGCCAACAAGACAAGAACCACTTGTGCATTGAAAGTTTGCAAGAAAGTTGTGGCCGCTTTTGGCACCAGTTTGAAAAAACGAAGGGACTTAGCTGCAGCTCAACTTCAAGAAGAACCTGGACAAAAAGTGAAGCAATTAGCTTCCATAAGTACTGTATTACCTAAATTTCAAGGCTAAGCACTGAAGTGCTGAAATTGTCTTTTGTGAACTAATAACATTTGTTGTCTGTTTTTATAGGAATGTCCTACACGTTGGGGATCAACGCAACATATGATTAGTCACATTCTTCGAAATAAGCAAGTGATAAAGAGAGTTCTTGGGAATGACAAGAACACGGTTCACCTGGCACCAAGCTGGCAGGATCTTGAAGTTTTAGAGTGTATCGATGCTGCCCTGTCTCCTATCTGCCAGTAAATATGTCACAATAAGTGTTGTTAAGCCGATTTTGCATCGACTAACTACGGTTGAACTCGCCTGTGAAGAATACGATCTTCCTTTAACATGTGATCTTAAAAATGAAATCCTACAACGTTTGAAGACAAGATATGAAAAAAGCGATCTGTCGAATATGTTAGTTGTAGTGATCTTCCTTGACGCGAGATATAAAGCTGATTTCATCACCACCGAACCCACGACTGGCACAACAGATGAAGCTGAGGACGCCACGCAAGTGATCCAGTCACAACTGCATGTTGTTAAGGAGGAACTTCTCAAACAAGCTGTGTTTCTCTCTGTCCTTGGTCTAGAATCTACACCCTCCCCATCACCTTCAACTGAACCCACCAAAGAAGAAGTTGAAACTTAGCCTTAGAGCTTTGACAAGCCTCAAGAAATCAGAGCAACCACCAGGTTGATCCTCCTCACCACGTGATTGTTTGTCAAAGGCGATCAAAACGTACCTGATGTATTCAGTGATCAACAGCAACGAAGATCCACTCAAATGGTGGCAAACAAACGTATTTGCCTGAAAATACCTATGTATCCAGGTTAGTAGCTCTCCATCAGAATGACTTTTTAGCAAGGCCGGATTGATCAGCGTTCCATCACGAGCACAACTAAAACCAGGAACCGTTGATATTCTGACGTTCCTCGCAGAAAATTTGTGAATAACATTGAACTTTAATAGTTGTGTAACGTCTATCAGTCTATGTAATCTTTATACTAGTCAATGAATTATAAATTTTGATATTGCCACCTTGTGTTATATAAAAATATTTCCCAGGAAATATGGATTTTTATGTCATGCCTGGATTAACATGATTAGATGACATAATAGCTTTATCTTAATCTATGGCACGCCGGTTGAAGAGGTAGGAAATTTCAGTGCCTAAAACTACGCAACAGTGCCAAGATCAAGGTCGGATTTTTGGCATATAAACAAAGATATAGCACAAGTAATTTCATAAGTCGTGCAGACAGAAACATTTTAACTTATTCTTCAACTTCTTCCTGCGTCCTTTGTCAGATTAGTATATCTTTCATGTAATGTGACGATAAGAGTCAATTTTTATTTGTTATGGCTTTGTCTCGCCCCAAAGTTCTTGTGTTTGGTCATTCTTTTGTCAGGCGCCTGCATTGGGATTTGACAACTCAATTTGATATGCGGGCTGCCTTAAATTTTAATTTACCCGATGTCTCCATTAAACTACATGGTATTGGGGGACAGACGGTGGACAAGCTCGTGAAATACATTTTGGATATGTTCAGAAGTTCCAACCCAACATAGTGATTTTTGAGGTCGGGACCAATGATTTGCCTTTAATGAAACCCGAAATTGTGGGTTCCAAAATAGACGACTTGGTTCATTTATTGCTTGGGGTAACTTCTATCCGAGTTATAGGGGTTTGCTTGATATGATCGAGCCTCCTCCCCTGAGTTTACGCAAAAGTTAGGATTCCAAATCAATACTTAACAGTAATATTTAATGGCATGCATAATGTTTTTTGTTGGAGCCATAAGGGCTTCACTCACTCATCTATCTCACCGTTTTTACCCGATGGCATACATTTTATGTGCAGAGCTCAACATCGTTTGTACTGTAGTTACCAGGGTGCAATACTCAAAGCTATACAGTTACTTTAAAGTAAAGGGGTTTATCTCCTCTATATGTTAAATAATTGGAGGCTTCGCCATTGAATTTTATCTTCGCCATTGAATTTCATCTTCGCCATTGAATTTCATCTTCGCCATTGAATTTCATCTTCGCCATTGAATTTCATCTTTATAAAGAATGGAGACTTCGCCCTTCATGTCATTATGTTATTATCAATCACACTTCGCTGTGATTTTATCTGAGGCTTTGCTCTCAGTCCATATGTTGTCACCAATCGCACTTCGCTGTGATTTTAGTTGAGGCTTCGCCCTCACTGTATCTATATGTGTTATTATTTAGGACCAAGTTGTCATATGTCTTTTGTTTTAAGTACAAACTTTGGGCTCAGTGGTGCGGTCACCTTTATGTGGCCAGGCTTGACCCAACCGATTTATTGATTTATCGATTCTCATACGCATTACCTATGCGACTAAATCTTTAGCATGACTGTGTTCTAATAGTTTTTAAAGTCATTTCTTTCAGCTCATCAATGCCGTCCAACCACAACACACGTTCGAAATGCACAGCCACAACTTCTGTGCCCAATCAACTGTCTTCCCGGCGCACTTGTAGGGGTCGTTCGTCAGCCACCACCGCTACAGTGCTCGCCACCAACAGCCCCAGTAGTGCTGCCTCGACATCCACACTGCCTGCAATGGCTCCAGTCAATTTTGCCACAACATCAACGGGACCAAGTTCTGCCATTTCGCCTGTGCTACTTGGGCAAATAGTGTCGACCGTAACAGCTGAAGTAACTTGACGCCTAACACCACTCTCGCAACCAGAGCAATCCGGTGAGGTTATTGAAGCTCCAGTGGTCACTCCTGCCGCAACTTCAACGGTTCCACAACTGCCTGGTGCTGCTGTCGTCGAACAAGCGTTACATTCTGCCCATTCAGCCATTACAGGTGAGACATTCTCTGCTATGCCCTCATTGCCTGGTCAACCATACCATTCGGTAACCTTACCTCTTGATTTTCGAGTTTCCACGAAATTGAAGAACAAGATTTGGGACGATAATTTTATAGATTTTGGGTCTCTATTGAGCAATCCAATGATGGATAATATATGCTTAGTATACCAGCTATTCTACATTTGCTTGATGACTTTTTGGTGGTAGCTGCGTCCTATGATTCCTGCTTGACTTAGTTACATTGATTTCTCAATTTTTGCGCTTTTATTGGGTTACCTATGGCCACTGAAAAGACATGCAGTCCATCAACGATGTTGTCTTTTGCAGGTATTTAGTTAGATACCATAGAACTTGAGGCGCGTTTACCTTTAGATAAATTACGCAAATGTACTGATTTTATCACCGCATTTCGACAGCATAAGAAAATCGCATTAAGAGAATTTGCAATCTTTAACTGGCCTCATACATTTCGCCTGTTATGTCATCATCCCAGGACGGGCATTTTTGCGTCACTTAATTGACCTCACCCACAGCATCCGTTTATCTCATCACTTCATTAAGCTCAATTGCGAGTCAAAAGAGGATTTAAATGTTTGGCTCACGTTTCTTGCCAATTTTAATGGCCGGTCGTTTTTTATTGACGAACGATGGGCCAATTCTCAGCAACTAAGTTTATTCACGCATGCTGCGGATGGTTTCGGTTTCGGTGTAATATTTGGCTCAGAATACTGCTATGGTTTATGGCCCGATACCTGGCGGCATCAGAACATTGCAATTCTAGAGTTTTATCCGATTGTACTGAGTTTATGCTTGTGGGGTCATGGGATGGCAAACCGCAGTGTTTTGTTCTTCACTGACAATGAGGCTCTGGTTTACGTCATCAATAAGCAATCATACAGGGACAAAACTTTGATGCAATTTGTTGATAAGCTTGTCCTTGTATGCCTGCAACACAATATCTTATTCAAAGCCAAACATATTCCAGGGATGTACAATCGTTTGGCCGATCTCTTGTCTCGCTTTCAGGTTCAAACCTTCAAGCGCGAGGCACCAGCCTCGATGAATTCCTGCGCAACGGACATCCCTCCAGTTCTGCTGCCACAAAATTGGGGGATATTATTTCCCTCCTAACCCAGTCAAGCCTGCGGTAATCCTCCATCGCTACATATAGGTGAGCGTGGAGAGTTTTCGACCAATTCCATATTCATGTTTTTGGTACATCTTACATATTGCCTACATCACCTCACACTTTAGCGTTTTTCATAGCTTACATGTTTGATCGGGATTACGCCCCTGCAACTATCAACACCTATGTTTCAGCGATTGGTTATTCACACAAACATTGCACTTGGTTGACCCTACTAAGGTATTTTATATTATACAAATGTTAAAAGGCTATGGAAAACTTGGCTTTCGCTTAGATAGTCGGTTACCTATCACTCTCCCAATTTTAACCTGACTACTAATGGCTGCCCCACACTGTATTGGCACTTCATACGACCAATGCCGCTTTCAGGCTAAGTGTGGTCTTGCATTTTTTGCCTTTCTACGTATTGGCGAGATAACATCGACATCAAAGCAGTCTCCTATTCCTCCTTGTTTGAACCAGCTCACCAAACTCTTAAGAGACGGTGAAGTAATTGGTTTTAAATTAACCTTTGCTGACTACAAACACAATTACAACCAGCGGCCGTTTTCCATGGTCATCGTCAACCAAGTCATAGCCCCTGCCCAGTAAAACTGTTATGTCGTTATTTAACCATGTTGTGGCAATTCCTCTGGACCTATTTTCATTACTCCAGCAGGGGCGGCAGTGTCAAGAAACATGTTTGCTAAACAGCTGAATGACTGTCTAAAATTTTGAAATCTCAATCCTTCCGTTTACAAGTCTCATAGTTTCAGAATTGGTGCAGCATCATTTGCGGCAGAACATGGGGTGTCCGATGTGCAGATATGCATTCTGGGTCGTTGGAAATCGAATGCATTTCACAAGTACATCCGCGTTCAAACGCTTACTATGACATAACCTATATTATTATATAGGTTATGATGACATAACCTATATTATTATATGCGCATTCGATCATATGCTATAACATGTTAATTTGCGCAATATAAATATTAAATATTATTATTATTTTAGCACCCTCTTTTAAACAGCATTGTGGGGTGATGTCTAGAGGAGGGTTACAATTATGGCTTATGGTGTTATTGAGCAGGGGCGGATAACACTATTTCTACCCAAATACATATTATAGCTTACATATATATTTAACTTGGCAGTTAGCAGCGGCAACTGTTACTATGCTATCCAATTGTAAATAATATTGCACGGTGAGCAGGGGCCACTGTCTTCAAACAATTGAATGTGTCACCAACAAACACTTTATACGTAAGCAGCTAGCATGGGCGGTCGTTTCACCACTGTTGGAAACAGTCATCCTGAACAATGTTTTCAATTTATATCAATTTCAACGGTGCGCAGGGGCGTCTGTCTTTTCTAAATCAAATGTTATTGTGTATCCAATATTATTTTTATATGATACACTGACTTTCCATTGGGATACATTATTATAGTCCTTGGCGTTGCATTTCCCTCGGGTGGGGAGACTTTTTATATTGATTTACTCCATTTGCGTACTGGGAAATGAATTGCAAAGTCTTTGGCGTGTAGTCCTGCCACCTTTACTTAAGAAATAGAGAACGAGTCGCATGCGTTTATGGTGTGATAATGCACGTGGGGAATGTTGGGAGAATACGAGAGAAGCGTGTAAAATACGAGGCGTAGCCGAGTGTTTTACACGCTTCTCGAGTATTCTCCCAACATTCCCCAAGTGCATTGTCACACCATAAACGCACGAGACGAGTTTTTCTATTTCTTTTATAATATAAGTAGAAGATATTACATAGTAAACAATTTTACTCAAAAGATCGACGTTGAAATTCTCGTAACATGCTCAGTGACGTCACGCGCATGCTTTTACTGTCGCTTGAATTTTTAAGCGAGCGAAGGAGCAAAATTGCCAAAACAATATACAAACTTTTGATGCTATAAATTCGGAAAAATTGTTTAAAATAGTGGAAATAAAAAAGCAGTGACACAGACTAATTTGCCAAAGTTTTTCAGCATCTGGGCTGCTGGATTTGCCGTGAAAGATGGGTAAATCGTAGGTTTCGTCGTGTTTATTACTCAGTTTTAATTTTCGAAATTATTGTATTTTTGTCTTTCGCCGAAAAAATATCTAGCAGTTATTATCAGAAGAATTGAAGGTACTTTCTAAATCACTTATATTCAGTTTTTGTTGCCTTTTTGTATGTATTTGGTCTTCCAGCTGTATCTTTTTCAGGGTTTTTTCTCAACTATTTTGTATGCTTTTTACCCAAAACTTGTCGAGACAACAACAAATTCGACGAATGCCAAGCCGGTTAATTTTATAAGTAGAACTATAGAAAATTGCTTTGTTCCTTTGGTTTATTCCTTCTTGCTTTCTGGTAAATTTTGTATTTTAAAAGCTCTATAATTTTGTGTTTAATTTTGGCTAAAAAGCAGTGATAAAGAGGGAAAAAAAAAGAGAAAGAGCAAAGCAGTGCCACAGATCACAGTGCATTATTGCATCACACGCATTAGCCAATCAAATCGTCTGTTATATCACACTTATATTATAATGGCAATTGAACATCAATATATAAATCAAAATGAACTCTAGTATTATTCTGATGATTAAAATATGTTATTATTGATTTTTATATGATCATTTTCAATAAAGCGACTATGAATTGTTCATAGCCAAAATTTACCCGTAAATACATTGTCCATTTATTGCTTGCCAGTAAACATAGCTTGGTTAATGCAACGCTAATTGGATATCCATAGTTTATTAACAGAAGGAAGGCAGGACATAAAGTTATAGTTACATTCTAATTCGTCAAAATTAAAGTTGTCTCAAATTCAAATAAAAAAACTGGTTTTTTGGTTTTTTCAATTTCTTAACAGTTTTCGGGGTTTTTCTAAGAACCGCCCCAGCCTACTCCACAGTTGCTGTTCGTTTCTCACATTTGAAAAAGACACCATAGTAGAGCATGTGGTTAACCTGCAGAGCATGCGCCAGGCGGGGCGGGCTAAATATGAATATTTCGAAATTTTCAGTGGAAACAGAGTAACACTGTGACACCAAACAGCACCATTGGAGTTCTTGAATAAAAAAAAATTGTTGAAGTTGAATGAATATTTTTGTTAAAGTTGAATGAATATTTTTGTTGAATATGAATAAATTTGATGTTGAATGAATATTTTGAAACAAAACACCAACCATAGCCAAAGAAAAGGCTGAACTTTCAACAAATACTTCTGTAGTCATAGTTTTATTGATGATAGTTGGTGCTTGTCTCCCAACAAATATCTCATATTTTCAAACCACTATTATTCTGTCAAATATTCATGTAACTGAAGGCAAAATTAATTATTTTATGAAGGTTGTGGATGTTAGTCAATAAAGTATGTCACAAAGGGCTTCTATATAAACTTAATATAATTGGTGTTAGAGATATTTTGTTGAGCTGATTTGAGAGCTATTTAACTAGTGTAGATAGCAAGTTGTGATTGATGGCCATGCATGTATAAAATGATATATTTATAAAGCTGGAAGATGCACTAACTAGTGCCAATCGAGACAAAGCCTTTATAAATTTTTAAATTAACATTAAATATTGCAGCTGAGCTATTGCCCGGCTCCAAACATCAACAGCAAGATCACCATTAGCTAGATCACCATTACCTAGGTCACCATTATCTTGTTCATCATCAACTTCCTCATCATTTGTGTGTGTGTGGTCTCTGCTGATCTTGATTATTGTCATCATATTCACTATGAATACTTCCACCTCGAATAAAAAGAGTATTAAAAATTAGTGGAAAATATGAATATAATATTCCCTGCATTAAAAGGTGACTGTACATGAATATAATTATTACTAGAATTTTGTCAAATAGCCGGTTCCCCTTATTACATATTCTGAATACAACTACCATGATACTTGTAGGTATTTTCTTCATTATGCAATAACATGTCTGAAAAGCATGCTGGTAGTTGTATTCAGAATACGCAATAAGGGGAACCGGCTATTGATTTGCATGTTTGTCTCTAACCATATCAAATTAATTTAAACCTGGTACATTGCCTGAACCTTGTATAATATACAATAACCAGTACCCGGGGCCGGCCGGCCATTAAAAGTATCCGGCCAGATATCTAGATTATCTGACAGGATGTGATATCATATATCTACACACCCCCATATGGACGAGAAGTTCTGAGGGGGTTGAAAAAGCCGTTTCTAAGGGTTTGTGTGCATCGGCATCCTTTGAACTTTGCATTTTTCTGAGGGGTAATGCAAAAATTCCTTAATTTCTGGGGGGGGGGGGTACTTTGATATTTTTTTCTTAGGGGTTCAAATTTTATTGAAATAGTCCATAGGGGTGTGTGTACATTGAGTGGAATGGCCCAAGTCAGGGTTCCAGCCAGAAACTCAAGGAAACAATTTATATAAATTATATTGTGTCTGGAGTAAATGTATAAAACATACCATTTGATGATGATTCATCAAATATGTCGTTGTTTTTCAAAATCAAGCCTGTATTTGGAAATTTTTCGCAGTTACAATCGGTGCCCATATCAACATCCACTACTAATGGTGCAAACGGCATATCCTCTATGTTGGCAAACGGCATATCCTCTATGTTGCCACTGAGGTCTATTTGTTGTGACAGAGTAGGAATAACCCCATCTCATACAATATCAATGTCCCAGATTAGGCAGATCGTTTGGTCTGTTTCAACTTCTTCTCGTAAACACTATAGTAAAGGTAAAAGATAAATAATATTCTTATTTATTCTTGGAAAACAAACATCGGTTATATACTGTATATTTTTATAATATATATATATATATATTTGAATAATTATACACATGCTGTAATTTTATATAATCTGTAGCTTTTAAATAACAGATAGATTAGATAGATAGTTTAGATAGATAGTTTTATTAAGAATAGTAGCATTACAGCTGTACTCCTGAATTGCGCTACTTTAACAACTTATAATTTAAAAAGTACGTTAAAAATATCTATATAGCTATCTATACCTATTTTACTTAGCTAAGGTGTCTCATATTGTTATTTGGTTATTTTCCAATCATGATTTCTGCTACATGCCATTATAAACGAGTTTGCAAATTGCTTCGTTTTCACCAGCGGTATTTCAAAGGTTCTTTTCTTTCGAAGATTATAGTTCATGTTCGTGTTGTACTGTGGTAAGAGAGAATGTAGTTCTGAACCTCTGTCCTTGGAGATTTGTTCAAAGAGATTCATTGACAAGATTTCATGGCACTCGCTGATGGTTTCCAGTTTCGTTTTCTCCAGAGCTTCCTGATAAATGCATTCTGGTAATACTATCACAAAGGCTCTCTTTTGGATTTTCTCCAATTCCTGTTGAAGATACTTTGGAAGGGAATTGTGAAATAAGGAACAAGCATAATCCAGAGTAGTTCGAATGCATGAAGAATAGTATGCCACTATATCTTCTACAGGGACATTAGCTCGTTTCAATTGAACAAGAAAATATAATCTATGGGCTGTTTCTTAATTACTTCTTCGATATGGTCATTCCAAGACAGTTTGCTGTTGATAGTCACTCCTAGCAGCTTGGCTTTAGATACTTTCTCCATTGGGATTCCATCAATTGTTACTGGAGGATAGGGCTGTTGATTACGGCTGAACGAGATGGTTAGTTCTTTACACTTTTCTCCGTTCAATTGAAAAAGACATTCCTTTGACCAGTTAACAACTTTGTCCACGGCTATCTGGGCATTGCTATCATGTCCTCGAATAATGGTTTCCGATACCGTCAAGTTATCCACGTACTTCCAAATGTCAAAGGGATCATCAGGAAAACCAAGGTTACTTATCATTAAAATAAAAAGCCATGGGCCTAATTTGGTACCCTGCGGAATACCCGAGGGGACAACGCCCCATTCAGACATGCAATCATGACTCAACTTTACTCTCTGTAGTCGGTTCGATAAAAAACGTATTATCCAGTTGATTATAGTGGTGGGAATATCCAGCTCTTTCAATTTGTTGACTAGGATTGTATGATCGACTAGGTCGAATGCCTTTCGGTAGTCAAACAATAATACTCTTACAACAGAGCCTGTGCCGTCTGTTTCGTAAAGCCATTTATGTACCATGCTTATGAGTGCTGTCACGGTAGAGGATCCAGGTACTGTACCATACTGATTTGGATCCTACATTCTTCAATATGGTGGGTTTAATATAATCCGTAACTACAAACTGTGACGGTGCTTGCTCACCGTAAAGCATTAACTTTAATACGAAAGACTGATTAAATCTCTTTAATTTTATTTTATTTTGCAATAATATTTAACTGTAATCTCGACGGTCTTTCCTTAATAACTCTTTATAGGAAGTATCTGTGAGATATAATGATGTCTTTAAATTGTCTTTGTAGTTCTCTTTACTAACTCTTAATGTTCACTTACTGATTCTTATGCAAGACTATATACTAAGCACAGTTTGCAAGTCTCTTTATAACAGAAATAAATTATACAGTGTGTATCAAAATAATTCGAATCCAAATTTGACAGACTGCTGTTTATAAAATACTAAAGTAAACCATATAATTTTTATATGGCAATAAAGAATAGCCTACTAGGTTTCCGATTATATCGTTCTTATATCAATAAGATCAAAAATGACCAAGAAATCATGTGTTAAAACTGGTTGCTCTAAATCAAATTTTTCCGCCGATGGGAATTCGAAGTGAGACGTACAAACAAAAGATAATGCAAATTTAATTAATCAACAAACTGTTATGTAGCAAAATTTACATAAATTCGTGTTCATTTAAAGAGATTTAAGCTCCTACGCCTTCAACATGTTGAACGAGAAGAAATTCGCGTTAAATTTGCATTTTAGTTTTCAGTGATGATTAGCATTTCAAAGCCTTGTGGGACTAACTTTGAAAGAAAAATGTCCAATTCCCATCGGCGGAAAATTGTGATTTTTATGGACTTTTTTTGTCAAAGCAATACTCCTTCATTTTCCAACTAAATGACGTGTACAGCATGTCATTTGAAAGGTAAATAAATGAACTTAATGGTGTAAAAACCAACCGAATTTGTCAAATATATTCTGCGTTATTACACGCCAAATTTGGATTCGAATTATTTTGATACACACTGTATATACAGTATTTATTAATTATGCATACACACACAGTTACATTCCCCCCACAGTAATGTCTTTGATTTCTCAGTACAAATATAGTTTAATGTTCCACTTTGATCTTTCTTGTAAGGAGTGAAGGAACTCTTTTCTCC